AGCTCCCGATCCCTTAGTCGCCTTTTATTAGGAGAATGTGTTGCCGAAGATCAATTCCAACACGGATCTTCACGGGTCGATTCAAGATGTTTGGAACATTTGGACAGCAAACACTATTTACATCAGACCCCAGGTATGCAGTGAATATTGTTTGGGAAAACCACTCTCAATGCCCAAACATTTCATATAATCTTATCACTGGATGAAAGCTGTTATAAAATTGTCAATTGTCTGGTCGTTGTAACAAATGCATGCCCCTTACTGTCTCTTGTGATACATTGATCCGCAATCCCATGTATTATAGAACAGTTTTTGTGATAATGTATGACAACATGTCATCACCGAAGAAGATGATTACAGTCGACAACCTTTCTTATGACATTTTGTTATGATATTTTGTGACGTTTGTGTGCTTGTTGGTCAAAGCCACATTTGTCCAGCTATATGGCGGCAGTCTGTAAATAACCGAGTCTAGACTAAACAGTCCAGTGATTGACACGATGAGCATCGATGTACGTAATTTTAATGATAACATGCATCAACAACCTCAGCGAGCCTGATCACCTCTCCCCTTTAGTCGCTTCGACCCAAATCTTCACGCGTAGCAGGGATATTGAACTAATCGCAACAAACTGATCCCTGGAGAGTACATATATCCTGAGAACCTACAGATAAACCTTTCAAGACGCATCGGAACGATAATCGGAAGAGTAGTGAGTGAGTGATTTTAGAGGACTCACAGGACATGCTCAAGACGATCCAGTGATCAACAGCATGAGCATGGGAAACGATGACATATGTCAACCAAGTCAGCGAGCCTGAATCGGATGAGCAAATACTCAGTGATTCAAATAATTATCTCAAGCTATGATCCCGCCCTTTCGTGCTTGCTTGTCTGCTGGACTACAGTTTATTGATGACGGGAATCAAACTCGGATCTTCAGTGTGACAAGTCAAAGCATTACGCACTGCAGGGGCGGATACAGCATTCTGAGAAGGGGTGAGGGGGTGTATTGAGAGAAAAGGGAGGGTGCGCACTTCATTTTCACCCGAGTTTCAATGGTCATTTAATAAACTTTCAGGAAAGGGGGTGCGCACCCCTGCAACACCCACCTCTGGATCCGCCTATGCACTGGGTTTAACCACGTTTGTTTTGTATGATCCAATAATCAGTCCCATGGTGTCTGTATCTATTGCAGCTTCATGGTGATATCCTGTGTTTCTAACACTAATCTTATATCGTGTGTTACCTAGTTCCATTAACGCATCAAACAAGTAATTCAATACAACACTAGTTGTCAGTATACTCCCAATAGGCCCCAGAGGAGATTTATGTTCTAGAATCAGAGCTTTTCAAAATGTTCTAGAATCACACCTTTTACGCCAAGTGGAATCTGTTTCTGCAGATAATGGAGATTAATTATTATCTGTCGTTGTCGTTTTACATCCTAATGTCCATTAATGTCCACATATGATAGAATAATCCATATTACGTCGCTTCTGGGTTTGACAGTTTTTCAGTCTTCATTTGAAAGAGTAAAAAGCGTGTGTTGAGAAAAAGCAAACATAAATTTTCCAAAACGAAAAATGCAGAGGAAGACCAAAGCGTAAATACATTGTGGTTTATCAAGTTTGGCATTTAAAACAGGAAACCAATGAAGAGAAAGACGAAAGTGTAAATAAATTGTTTGCTTTCATTTGGGCATTAAAAGCAGCAAAGCAATGACGAGGAAGACCAAAGCGTTTCAGTGTTATCACAACACCTAGAGTACAGTACACAACCTTGTGCACTTAAGAAGAACCCACGAATCCGTTGGTACATGATGGTACAGTTGCGGGTACATCAACGTGCAGTAACCTTGGACAAAGTACTGTGACTGTATGTCCCAGTCCACCCAGCTGTGAATGGGTACCTCGTAAGGATGGGACAGCCACATTAACTCGGTGCGCCTAGTGGCTGCAAGAGCTTTGTGATCTTCAGGGAGTTGAGATTGAAAATACGTTGTGCCGATCAGAGTGACATCCAATGAACGAGGGGAAAAATACCAGCGCCTTGAGGATGTACTTGTTGCGTGGATTGTGCGCTATATAAATATCCAAAAATAAAATATACATTGTTTGCATTCAGTTTGGAATAAATGCAGCGGAAGACCTAAGTTTAAATACATTTTGGTTTATTTAAAACAGGAACGAAACGTAGAAGAAGGCCAAAGCGTAAATAAATTGCTTGTTTTCAGTTTGGCATTAAAGGCAGGAAACCAATGCAGAGGAAGACCAAAGTTTAAATACATTTTGGTTTATTTAAAACAGGAACGAAATGTAGAAGAAGGCCAAAGCGTAAATATATTGCTTGTGTTCAGTTTGGCATTAAAAGCAGGAGGTGAGGTGAGGTGAAATTGGGTTTTACGTCGTGCTTGAGAATATTTCGCTCATATGACGACGTCCAGCATGCGTGTGTATGTGTATGTGCGGCTGTAAAAGCAGGAAAACAATGCAGAGGAAGACCAAAGGGTAAACATACATTGTTTGGGTTCAGTTTGGCATTACAAACAGGGAAATGAAATGCAGAGAAAGATCAAAGTTCAATATGGCATTAAAAGTGGGGAATGAAATGCAGAGGAAGATCAATGTGTTCAATTGAGCATTAAAAGCGCGGAATAAAATGCAGAGGAAGACCAAAGTTTAAATACATTGTTTGTCTTCAGTTTGGCATTAAAAGCTCGGTATGAAATGCAGAGGAAGGCCAAAGTTTAATACATTGTTTGTCTTCAGTTTGGCATTAAAAGTGGGGAAAGAAATGCAGAGGAAGGCCAAAGTGTAAATACATTGTCTGTCTTCAGTTTAACATTAAATGCAGGAAAGCAATGAAGAGGATGGTATACGGTAATATAAGACTCACCACGAAACCGACACGTTTCGTGCTTCTCTTTCTGACCCGATAACGATTCGTCTCGAGCGTTAATTATTGAAACGCTTATCCAATCTTTCAGGTAATCGGTGCACGTCTAGCTAGCGTTTAGGGCATTCACCCGGCAGCTGGTAAATGTCCCTAAGGTGTTGTATTCCTGTAGGTCAATCGGAGTAAAACATATGCCTTTCTTGTTTCCAGATACATAGATTCTGTCGTTCTTCAAAACCATTTAGAAGTTGGACGAACATTAATACATGACACGGTTTTCTCGATAATAGCTTCTTTTTATTCTTCATACGATGTTTCAGAGCTAATTCTTTCTCCTCCATCGTATAACGAATAAAATGAAGCGTTATCCATAAAAACGTGTCATGTATTCATAGATTTTGTCATCGAATGAACTGACAAATTGAATGAGTGAGCAACGAGCTAGATAGAATGTAAAATTTTATTAAACGGTTTCTCTATCCAGGACATATTAACACAAGATTGTTCTTCACCTTTGGTATTGTATTCAATTTCTAATTTAAAAATGACAGTATTTGCGATACAGGTCAAAATGAATTTCAGTTCCTATTTTTGTTAATGATCTGAATGCACGGGTGAAGTACACACCCATTGTATATGGGGGATGAAACAACCAACAAATGATAATTCGGAATAAGATCTATTGGATGCATTTGAATTGGGATATGATAGTCGGCGTTACTTGCATTATATCAGTGATCGAATATCACAAAACAAAATATGCATTATCATCCTAGGGACATTTTGATACCGTTTGTAATTGCTTGCTCAAATCAAAGTTTGAAGTGTATACTTTCGTTTCCTCGACAGTTTCGAAAGGAAGGGAATGTTATGAAACTCGAGAGAAATATTGATTTTCTGTTTCAGGTAAAGGTGATTGTTATAAATACAACATAAAGGTGGATATTCCCTTATTAGGTCGATAAATAATTCCTGACTAAACACAATTACACTGACTAGACACAAAGGTTGAGTTGAGTACCAAGTATAATGTTTAGGTCTCAAGAACATGTCACCCTCTGTGGGGGTTTAAATTAAGAATGACTTCTTGACCACTACAAGGTATGTTTATAGCTACAACCTTTTAATAATCGCCTTAATGATATGCTTTTTTAATAATTTGGTTCGTTTTAATCAGTGGCTAAGAGTGTCAAAAATCATTTTCGACAAGAGAGATGGTGTTAATCTTGCTAGGGTGCCTACAGATATACTGTAAGACCATATAGTCTGTAGTATGGTGGGCTTACTTTGGCTCCTTTTTTCATATTTCCCCTTATTTTTCATTTCATATTTCTTTATTGCGTCGTCATGTTGTGATGATATTTTACGTACCCGTGAAGATTCGGGTTAGAATTGGCCTTCAGTAACCCATGCTTGTCGTAAGAGGCGACTAACGGGATCTGGGTGATCAGGCTTGCTGACTTGGTTGACGCATGTCATCGTAGCCCAGTTGTGTAGATCGATGCTCATGCTGTTGATCACTGGATTGTCAGGTCCAGACTCGATTATTTACAGACCGCCGCCATATAGCTCACTTACTCACTCATATTTTACACCCCCGTTGTTATTTAACTGCCATTGGATTTTGTACTTTCGCTTAATGGTGTACTGCCATAGTACATATTTAGCAGTAACTTGAGATTTGTAAACCTACTTACGTTTATGATACGAGTATTAACTTTTAATATTTCTTTGTTGTTGGATTATTTCACCCTGAAATAATTTAATCCGGACATCAACACGTTATAATACCATAAATGCACTCGCTGCATTTAACAATGGCTGACACCTATGTGTGCAGTGTGGTATGATATCCAGCAACCATCGTGCTACACTTCCTTGTTGCATCAGTTCCGTCCTCTATCAAACGATCGTACGTAATCCTGAGGCCATTCTATGCCAACCCATGAAGAATACCCTCTTTAAATTATGTAACATTTTTACCCATCTGAACAAGCATTGTCATGATCCAACAATGTGCACATACGTAAGGCTGGAGTTTTATTCGAAGAAAAGTATACCCAAATGATCAATATGGTTAATTATATATTAATTGTTGCAGGTGCCTTTGTCCGCTTGCTCAGTACAAGGCGGAATGGAAGGGCTGAAGACAGGAAGGTGCCCCCTCGTGTTCCTGGGTGTTCTGTTTCTGCACGTCGGTTGGGTGCTGGGAGACTGGGAACACTCGTGTTCACTAGAGACAAAGAGGGAGGGACCACAGGGGATCTGTGGGTCGCGTCTCCCTGATGTGCTAGAGCTCGTGTGTCGGGTGTACGGGGGTTACACAGAGAAGTGGTTCCGGAAGCGGAGTGACGAAGGTAGGGAGAAGCAAACTGTCATATTTTGTTAAATCGTGTTTAATATGCTACAGGGAGGAGCGCAGAAAAATCTGAAACTGAAAGAATCTAGATGGGACTACGGTAGATTTGGGTTGTTTCGAATGTGCTTGTTTCAGTGTCTGTATGACCATGGCAGACATCCTGAGATGTTGTTTTCCATAATCCCAGTTCATTATACACTTCATTGATGATAAATCAAGTTCAGTTGAATTCGATTTCGCGACTAAAAACTAAACACGAAAACAGAAGCTTTTACAGTGATATTGTCAGTGATATTGTCAGTGACTGAATTCATTTTGGATATATCCTAAAGATTTTTAGAAGTTTACAGACGCAGGACTTGCCTAATTTTAAATAACTTAAATAGCCCATTACATAAGAAGTGTATTTTCAATAACATGACATCACTGTGTTTCTTTTCATTTCAGATAGTAAAAACAGAATAAAAGATATTATTTTAGGAAAAAGGGATGCTCTCTCCTATCTTAGTAAACGAAGCACAAGCTCATTCGGCGAGCAGGGAATTACCTGCGAATGTTGTTACCACAGGTGTTCCTACTCAGAGCTCCGGCAATACTGCAAATTGTCACAGTTAACAGGGGGTCGACGACCACTACACCTGGGGCGTAAATAGCTGGACTCCCACCCACCTCTTCATACCTGCCTCCCCCACCCCGCTGCTAGCTGTCCAGCCTCTTCCGGCTTCACCCTCACCCTCTCTAGCATATGATGACTAACCAGGTGATGCTTGACAAACCAGTGCTTCTGTTTACTTTGCTGACGGTGCTTGAAATTCTTGTGCACGATAACAGCACCTGCGACTCGGTGATGTGACAAGACGCCATAGTGTATGTGTGGCTAATGCTTGGCCAACTTCTTGAAGGCAAAAATAAGACATCAACAAATTGAAGAGGCTTGCTCAAAAGCACCACATAAAAGACTTGGATTTATGGTGTCTGTACGATTGCTTTGGACAGTGGAATATAGTCAGTGACATAATACAATTGTGACAGTGACAATAGGTGAAGAAATGTTGTACACGCCAAAGGTGCAAGATCAGACTTGCCTTAAGGTCCTTTCCTTATCAAAACACATCCTTAAATATTCCATTTAATCCCGAGCGTGCTGATCTTGCACATGAGGTCTAAATCAGAGCATCAAACCATGTGCAATTCTGATCTTGCATTTTTTCGATACAACAACGCGTTGATCTGAAAATCGTGTTCTCTGGTACCTCCAGGCCTCTTGGACTCAATCAGGAGGGAATTGTTTGTTTCATTACATGAGTTTGTTAATACAAAAGTGTATCTGTTTCATTTGAAACCTTTAAGTGCCATCATGTCAAATTTATGTCCGTCAAGCATTCGTTCCCCTTTGTACAACAGTCTATATCATCTCTGAAGAGTTTATGCAAACTACACGAGGTTTTAGATTTCTTCACTATATCCTTTCACTCATCAGATTTATTTTATCCGACAATGCACCGTATTGTACATGTAATCATAGAGCATTAGAGAGTTTTTTGGCCAGCCAGAGATAAAAGACACAGGATCAAAGCATTGCTATCCCTCATCACGACCGGTTTAACGTGCATATTGATTTCAAGACAGAAACGTCCATTAATAACTCTGAAAATTCGTCTTTTAGTATTTACACAGGAATCCATTGAGGATATTGATGATGGTTTTGGATATTTTTATCTGAACATCTACGGTAATATTAAAAAGTTTAAGTGCTCATGAGAAGTAATATTATTCACAGTTAAGTATCCAGAAAAGGCTTAAATGACACTGAAGAGGTTTAGTACTCGCTTCAAAGCCAAAAAGCATCCAGTTGTTATTATGGAAAACATGTCTTACTTACTTGAAGATGAGGCGTTTTTCTTCGCCCACAGCATAACACACGTTGTAAAAACGAGCAATATCTCCCTATTTCCTTTTCTTGTCATGCAATAGGTATGTTCAGATGTTTGCAAACGCTGACGCTAATGTGCTCATGAAACCTGATAGCTCTGAAAAGATGTTCTTGAAGCAAACAAGTTTAACGTATTTTGTCGATCTGAAAATAACACATTACTTACGTTTTTCTGTAACAGTTGTCACTGTTGTTACCGTAGCAACGGTTTGTTCATTAAAGAAAGATGTATAGATTTACACAACATGAATTACATATTTTATGAGACAGTAGGGAAGATATTAGATATTAAGCAGTCATAATTTCTCTCAAGACAGATGCTTGTGGATATTGAGAAAATGCTATTACGATGTTCTAAGTGATGGCAGATTAAAAGTATACGTTAGTATCAATTGTACCTTTGTATGTTTGTACTTATATTCTCATTTATGCCGCGTTTCTTTTATTTAGTCCTTTGTATTGAACAATTCGATCAGACAATATCCCATGTATTTGTATGTCAGTATGACTGTGCTGTCTCAATTACTGCTCATGTGATGTTTATATGATGAGATGTCGGCACGATGATGCAGGATGCTACATGGCGATTAGGTGGTGGGCTGTTCCACTGTGTCCGCCAGATGGCGTGGTGTTACATCTGACCAACAGGTGGCAGGGTGTTACATCTGACCGTCAGGTGGCGCGTTACAAGGTGACCACAAGGTGGCAGGGTGTTACATGGTGACCAACAGGTGACGGGGTTTTACATATAACCAACAGGTGGCGTGGTGTTACATCTGACCACCAGGTCGCAGCGTATTACATCTAACCACCAGGTGGCGAGTGTTACATGGTGATCACCAGGTGGCGGGATGTTACATCTGACCACCAGGTGGCGTGGTGTTACATCTGACCGCCAGGTGACATGGTTTTACATCTGACCAACATATGGCGTGGTGTTACATGGTGACCACCAGATGACAGGGTTTTACAGGGTGACTATCGTATGGCAACGTCACAGGTTGTTATACTACAACCATCAGGAGGGTATTTGGGTGTCAGGTGGTGACTGCAAGGTGGGGGTTGTTACGTGGTGGCCATCAGCCGGCGTGGTTGTTGCATGCCATCGGGGAGGAGTGCACCGTAACATGGATGTGTGATGGGGCGCGCTGTAACATGTCGTCGGCTGGGAGGTTCACCGTAACATTGCTGCCTGCGGAGAGAGGAAGGGGTGGATGGGAGAAAGGTGGAGGGGTACACCGTAACATTCTGCATGCTGGGAGGTTCACCGTAACATTGCTGCCTGCGGAGAGAGGAAGGGGTGGATGGGAGAAAGGTGGAGGGGTACACCGTAACATTCTGCATGCTGGGAGGTTCACCGTAACATTCTGCATGCTGGGAGGTTCACCGTAAAATTGCTGCCTGCGGAGAGAGGAAGGGGTGGATGGGAGAAAGGTGGAGGGGTACACCGTAACATTCTGCATGCTGAGAGGTGCACCGTAACATTCCTCCCGCTTGGTTGGGCACTCGTATCATTCTGTCTGTCATTTGAGATTCCGTGACATGATGACTTCTCTGTGGTATGTTGTGACATACCGCCCTTGAGAGATTTCAAAATTGACTTCTAAATCAACGATACGGATGTCTGCATGAATAAATAAAATGTCTGCAAACGTTGACATATGTGCACATGTTCACAGACAGCTTTGGTGTCACATGTTTCACATGTTGAGGCATCATATCAAATCCGTGCTGGAACATGTACAAGAGACAAGACAGATATGGTCCAGGGTGATCAAGATGTCGCGAACCTGGCTGTATTCGGTTAAAGTGGTTAAAACGTCCACCCCTACCAGAGATCCTAGGTAATACGATGGTGATAACCATTGTACCCCTCTCAACCAACACGGGGCGGTCGGGTAGCCTGGTGGTTAAAGCGTTCGCTCGTCACACCGAAGACCCGGGTTCGATTTCCCACATGGGTACAACGTGTGAAGCCAATTTCTGGTGTCTCCCGTCGTGATATTGCTGGAAAATTGCTAAAAGCGGCGTAAAACTAAACACTTACTCACTCACTCAACCAACACGCACTATTCATGACCTCTGCAATTCCCCAACCCTTCTCCCAACGCTCTTCATGCCAACCCATTGTTCCTCCCCTCCTCCTCCCCTCCCTCCCCAACCACCACACGCCATGGTTCGCCTGTATCCACCTTTGTCTGCTTGAACGGGAGGAGTTGGTTTTGGAAAGTGGTGGGAATAAACAGTAAACATCATTTCTTTCTTCTTCTTGTATGTTTTTCATCCGTCGGTGCTGGATGAGCTGGATGAAGTTATGCATTTAACATGCTGACAAACTGAGTATTAGCATGTGGGCGTTCAGTGGTTTAACGTCATTAATGCGAAGTATTTTAATGCGCAGTATTTACATGAAGGCATGTAAGTTAAATGTGTTAAGGTCCTGCTTTCCACATGAAAGAGCACAAGAGCACGGGCATGGTTAACACACTCAGGAGCCTTACCGGAAGAATGTGGGATTCAAACACACGATCATTTGATTCTTGTGTGCCTGAAAGGCGTCACTTCTACACAGTTACTTGCGGTAACTGAGTCTCAACCATTCGTGCACCTGCCGTAGGGAATTAACTTGATGCACTAGATATTGCTTGAGGTGCTGAACTCTCAACCAACCCTCCATAGCCGATACCAAATAACCCCCCTCATCAAATCTCTGACCACCAAGAGTTTCTTTTTGTCTGTGACCTTGATTAGGTGACCTCGATGTACTTTAGTCACAGATGTCGTGAATACGTTGGATCGGTGTGATCCCGTAAAGCAGCCCCTTCAGCATGGCTGGTGTGAACTCAAGCATTGTCCTGACGAAGAACACTATAAAGTACAAATTTGCCGCGACACTTGTCTTCGAAGGACACGAGCAATCGTTTTCAATAAGTTTGCACATTACTAATGATTCATTGCAGTTCCAAGGTGTATGTAACCGATGTGATTTATTCCCCTGTTGTCACAAAAGGTCATCATTACATTCTTCGTGGCTCTGTTTGCTTTTAACGTCTTGGTTTACACTCCATGGAATCTTGCGAACCAAAATAGATGTATAATGGGCGATCTTTTTCAAGTTATCTTCCCTTCACTAGTCCGCTAGGGGCCAACCTTAAACTGAGAGCCCAGGTGGTGTGCGAGATAAAAGCGGTGTGTGTTAATATCACATGTACAGACAGTTAACCAGTATAGCCCTTACCTTTAGACGCAAATGTATGGGCAGCATATGATCCTCCACTAAACAATGATATGTCTATTGTCGTCACCTGTATACATGTTACGTTATTCATAAGGGATCACAATGACAGTTTATCATGTAATAGTAAACCACATGATGGTCGTACGAAGCGAGGCGATGATGTTTGAATATCACACCTTTTTAAATTTTCGTTGTTTATGTACTTAAACTTAATCTCAGTCGCATTATCGCTGATTAGGCTATATTCATGGTGATGTACGTCAAAAAGCAGTATATTCATACTAATTTTCAATGAAGAATAAGGAAAGGTTTTATGATTATAAAACTTCTTTATTCTGTATTGGCGACATTTCAATAATTTTCTATGTCTAAATGTTGTATTAACAGTGTTGTAAACAAGCGCAATTTTACATTCCACTGACTTCCAGTGACAACCGATACAGTTTGACATGACATGACAAAGATTATTCACATTTGTATTGGACCTAGCTTTTATTGTTTGCTAACTGTAACAAATCAATGTTGTCATTTCTTTTCACTTTCCATCAATATTTGGACTGCAAAATATTATTCCACGGCGGCCAGGTCGTTTTGCAGGGGCATTCAATAAAAGATTTGTGACAGTTTTGTTAAAAGTTCTGTAGGCTTATGGGGTTAGTATAAAGGAACATTATGGGTTTTCTTCAAAATATGTCAACAATTGTCGGTGACAATTCAGTTCTGTCTTTAACGAAGCTTAAAGCTTGGTATACCTCATTCAAGAACTAAACATGTGATTAATCATTCCATCGACTGATAGACACATAATGTTAGAGACAGAATAGAGTAAAGCGTTTATTTCACGCCATGATGACTGGAATGTACTGAAGTCGCGTACCTGAATGGATGTCAGATGCATGGTAGATTTCCGATATGGTATATTTCTAAAATATGTTGTCAACATTTTTAAAATGAAATCAAATGTAAGAAGTGTTTATCGAAAAGTCATTAGATTCTGCACATTATTTCTCCAACTTTTAGTATAATTCATGACAGAATAGGAAATGTTTGTTAGATTTGAAGGACTTGTCGCTGGAAATAACAAGGGCGGATATATAATTTCTTTTTACTTTATTTCATCGGCGCAAGACTTACCCAAGACTTACAATCACCACAAAGTGTGCCAGTTAGAAGCAGTCAGCAGTAAATAACCGTTCTTAAAGGTCACATGCAACCAAAAAATCAAACGTAATTAAAACACAATTATCACTTCTTCATGACATATAATATACATCGCTGGTTATGAAAAAAACATAAAAACATTATAAGCGTACAATCGCAAATCAAAAAGTGCAATATTTTGTACTTGGGTTTACTTCCCAAGAAACGAAGCAGCCGGGATACCGAACCCAGTCAGAGTGGGTGGGTGTGCACTCAAGCGTAACGGCTGGTTCATTAGCAGATGCCGCCTTCACGGCTCATTGTGTGTGTATATATAGAGATGTTGGGTTTTGTAAATACATGCTCATTTTTTGTGTATAACATTTTGCAACCAACAGACATCATAACATGTCATGTGTTCAAGTATCACACCTGCCTGTCTGTGTAATTACATAATGTGACAAAGACCGACGTCGGGCCATAAATCAATGCGTTTTGTTTATGGTGTATAGCCTGATTGGTGTTAAGTTCAAATTGCATGGGGTCAGTGATCGCAGTTGTGTATTGAATATTGTCATTAGCCGACAGGCAGGCAGACACACAGGTGTCAATAAAACAAGACATTGAGTTTTGTCTGTGACAGCGACATATCTATATCACAGTTAGAAATTGTGTCAACGCTAAATAATGACATTGCATTTAAGTATCGAACTGAGAAAGTGACTCGGTAAGAAGAACGTGTGGTGAAATAGACAAATGAAATTATATAAACAGTTTATTTAATGTCATAACATATAAAAAGCTCGCGCCTGTGAGATATCAACAAAACATTATGAAAATAGCTCACACCTTCACAAGCCTTCACCGAGTATTCACCAGACAGCCCGCTTCCAAGTTGCGCGAACCTATTTCACTGCGCACGTGCTATGAGCGCAGCCCAGCTGTTGAAACCCGTATTCCCCAGAAAAGTCTGGGGAAAATTAGTGAAACGTTTGAACTCCGATTTCGCGCGGTTTTTTTCATCGCGTTATTTTTCAACTTTATAAGTTGAATTTGCATTTTTGACGCTTTGTTTCGGTAAGTCCATACCGAAAGGTATCAGAATCTGCAAAGTTGTGTTTTACGTTGCATGTGACCTTTAAATGAAGGTGCAAAAAGGTCAACGTATGAACTTGGTCCTGTCGTTACATCTCAGCAAATTGTCGCAGCGCACATTGAATAGGGAACCAGACCGGAAGCGGGAATCCGCCGTCGCTCATATCATTTCAAAACAAGAGTTATCGTCTTTTGTAACTGAAATCCGCCCATTATTATTGCATTTGATGTAGCCCTCATTTCAACAACTTTCTAAGAACGCATCAAAGTTTTGAGATATGTACATCTTCATGAGGGATTGTTTTTATTGAACTATTCAAATGTTGATCGAACGTATTATGGGTAATCCACCAAACCAAACCAATTCCTTTACACAACGTTTAATAGCATAGGCAGATCCAGAGGGGGGTGCAGGGGTGCTGAAAGTTTGTTAAATGACCATTGAACCTCAGGTGAAAATAAAGTGTGCACCCTCCTTTTCTCAATAGTGTGTGCACCCCGCCCCCTTTCTCATAAAGCTGTATCCGCCCCTGAATAGTCACGTGCATATGACAGGGACAGCCTCCCTATAAATGACTTCAAATGAGACAATTCAAGGAGGAAAAAGAACTATTGCAAAAGTATTGCAATAGTTGGTCGCAATAGACTATCACTATCGCAATAGTATGTTGCAATAGACTATCGCTATCGCAATAGTTGTTTCCCCCTCAATAGACACCCCTACCTTTAACTACGAGGAAACCAGGATGGTGACTATTGTTTTACGCCGCGTTCAACCAAATTCCAGCAATATCATAAAGGGGCTTCACACATTGTTCCCATGTTGGGAATCGAACCCTGTTCTTCTGCGTGCCGTGCAAATGCTTTACCCACTGGGCGACCCTCATTGCCCACAATATTACAAACAGTTCCATCACCAAACGTTTAACTGTCATATACATATGATGGGATCAACCTCCCTATAAATAGCATGTCAACGCTCATCAATAGCCTCTACGGATATCTACACAATATTCAGTTTCGTCCATGTCAATACAATGATGGAGGATTCCTCAGAGTCAGAGTCAATCATCAGGAAATCATTGGGCTGAAGTACGCCGAATTATTAACGATGACTCAATAAACACAGGTCAATACTGATATATGTCACTTACAAGTATGACAGGCTGGATATTCCAGACCCAACAGTTTCTGATACATCCTTATTTGACATTCGATGGCAGGTATAACCTTATTGGTCCTCAGTCCATCCTCGATAATCAAGTGCAACGTATCTTATTGCTTTTAGTCAGGCTTCCATCGCCATTTCCACTGCTTCTAACATTGTGAGATCATGCCATGAATTTTCCCAGACAATATAAAAATTACATGATATTTCAGTTTTTTGCTGATTGTTGTTTCCTCTATGGTAATGTGACATTGTGACATGATAAGCATCTGGAGCTGTAGGTGTATTGGCAGTCTCATCCCCACGTGGACACTAATGTGTGAGTGAGTGAGTTGGTTACCGTCGTAGTTGGTTATGTCATAGCGTGTCAGGTTGTTATGACGTACCACCGACACTAGACATAGCCCTGAGACCAACGAACAGTGTCAAACACGTGTACGAAAAGTTTGCATTGGAATCCACAAGGACAGGGCTGGACATCTACACTATCTAGCTGATTAAACTCCAGAAAGGGTAACCCAAAGAGACCTGCTGTGGCACATGACTGTTAGATCACCTGCTGAAAGAAAGCATCTTGGTCTCAGCTTTATTGTTTATCATTTAACAGGAACTTT